CAATCTCCATGAGTTGATCTGCATCACAGTTCTCCCAGGCAGATCTATCACCATCTATTGCCCCTGGGTAACCCCTCCCCCATTCCCCACCTTCTCATATTTGCTCCCTTCTGCTTCCATCTGCAGATTCCCATCTTTTAACATGAACCTTTGGTTCTATTGTACTTAGATGAAATGGTTCAGACTCGAAGAAGATCCTGGTGTGTGTGAAACATCAATTGTATTATTGATTTATTGATTCCTGTTATTACATCAGATGCTTCAGTTGTGAAGGTCAACTTCCATCTGTAGACAGTGTAGAGATGATTATATTTCCAGTGTTCAGGGAGAGTTGAGGAAATAACTGAAGTCTAGTCTAGTTTCTACATGGGGGGAGGGAGGGGGCAAACCCTCATGAAGGGAGTATGTGATTGTTCATGCACAAGCAGATGAGGAGACTGAGGAGGAAGACTTCCTAAGGTTGGATATAAAAGAGTGACGGATGGAAACACATACACACACACAGCTGGTCCAGTTGTCCAGCTGGTCTAGCTGTCCAGCTGGTCCAGTGGTCCAGTGATCCAGTGGTTGTTGTTGTTACTGCTTTTCTTCTTGATGGATTAAAGTCTTGTCAAATAGATCAATTCATTTGATCGACTGTGGTGAAATGATTGGACATCATCTTCATCTTCTTCTCATTTGTGATAGCGTGTCTCATTGGGATTAGAACCCAGTCCAGAGGCGTCGGCTTTAGTGACTCAAACAACATTAACTTCTTCCAGTGACATGGGCCCGTGTGGCCCCCCCCCCACCTCTTCTTTCTCCTCCCTCTGCTGATCCTCGTCGTGGTCTACAATCATTAACCTGTTCTCAGCCGACACAACACTCCACCATTGTGCTTCCTGTCGTTTTCAGGAAGTCAGTGTTTCTCCCTGCTGTCCAGGACAGCAGCGTCAGGTAACGAGTGACTGGCTGCCACTACTCCTCTCAACTTCTTTTTTATGTAATGCCACCCGCGCCCCCGCCCCTTCACTGCCCGCCCCTGTCTGTAAAGCATCTCAGAGGAGGAGGTTAGTTAAAGACATGGTTTTACTGTTGGTTCTGTCAGTGAAAACAGAAACAGCAGAAGAACATCGTCCACATCAATGGAACATTCAGCTGTAAATGAATTATTTTCTGGAAGTTCTTTAATTTTGGGAGCCCCCTACCCATCCCCCCCTGAGTGATTGAACGTCTGTGTGAAACCTCAGTGGAGGTGATGGAGGAGGTCTGCTCTGTCACCAGGAGCGCAGAGTTGACACTTCCTTTACAAGAAGGTTTGGAAGGCTGCAGTGATGTATCAGAGTCAGCAGAAGCATTGATCAGAACCAGGGTTAATCATTGCTCCGAGAATCCAGGAGAGGGAGAGGCCGCCTGGGGTGATGTGAGCCAGGAGAGTGGGCGGCCGCACCGCAGGATGCCTGTAACTCTGTAGTGAAGAAGAGCAGGCGGAGGAGGAGAGGGGGAAAGAGAAGAAGAAGAAGAAGAGGAGAAGAAGAAGAAGGAGAAGAAGAAGAGGAGGAGAAAGAAGAAGAGGAGGAGAAGAGAAGGAGAAGAAGAAGAAGGAGAAGAAGAAGGAGAAGAAAAAGAAGAAGAAGAAGAAGAAGAAGAAGAAGAAGAAGACAAGTCCACAGACATCAGTGTCATCATTCCTCCACATGTCAAAGAGTCGGCTTCTTTGAATGATGCTATTGTCCCCTGGTCAGCAGTTTGATTCAGTACCTGCATTTAGTTACTCATTGATCTGAGAGCCTGTGAGGGGTGGGGGTGGTGGTGGGGGGTAGTGATTTTGACTGACTGATCTGCCTGTGTCGTCCATTCCTTCATATAAAGACACAAGACACAAAGGACAGGAAGTGGAAAGAGGAACAGGGCCGTGAATAGATGCTCTTCAAAGTCTGTTAATAATTAGGAAGTGATGGAATTCAAACCCCAGACCTGTGACAGTTAGAGGAGCACTGTGGAATACCTACAGTGGACCAGGGGTCCAAACTGATGGAGGGATGGACCCCCGCCCCCTAGTTTTACCTCCAATACTAACTTGTTTGATATATATATATATCTGTGGATGTGTGTGTCCAAGTAAGTGTAGAGCAGCGCCCTGACGTACGTGTGTGTTCTTCAGAGACGTGAACAGAGAAGCTGCTGTGACGGCTGTGACAGGTTAAGTAGAGGGAATAGAACCATTGTCTTCCAAATCAGCTGTCAGACACTTTCTGCTGACAGCCACTGTACCTGCCTGGTTAATCATCAATGAGCTGCAGAGGTGGGGGCCACCATCACAGAGCTCCCCACCTCTACCACCAGCACTGCCACAACAGGACAACACGTGATTGACAGATTAGCAAGCACATGCACATTTGAAAGAACGATGGGTGGGGGAGAAATCCTGAGTGGAGGAAAACTGGGGTGACGTGAAAAGGAAGTGTGAGCTGAAGAGGTGTGTGTCTGTGTGGGCAGGTGGGGGGAGGGGGGTTAGGAGGTGTGTGTCTGTGTGGGCAGGTAGGTGGGGAAGTGGAGGTTAGCCATGAGTTCCTCAAAGTTTTTGCAGTTTAAATATGCAAACAAATGAGGTGAACTCACAGCAACTAGTTTTTGATCAATTATTCTGTAAAATAATGTATTCATCACGATTGATTTATTTACATTAGTTTTACTACTTTTTAAAATTATTTCTACCAGTACAGTATAGTACTGGTTGTAGCAGAGTGGTACCACAGCCAGTTGAGACTATTTTAATTTTTAGTTTTATATACAGTATATTATTTTAGTGGCTCTTTGGCCCAGAGCCAACGTCTCTGTCACTGGTGTGGAACCCCAGGGTTCACCTCATGGGCAAGATCGAATCCCAGTTAGGGCGGTTGGTACCTTCCAGTGGACTCACCACATGCAGGAAGGTTTGGGGGTGGGGGGTTAGTACGGTGGAGACTGCTGCCCCCGTGACCTGGTAACGGATAAGTGGATGAAAATAGATGGATGGAAATTTTATTTTATATTTTTTATTTCTAAAGTTTCTGTGGCTCCAGGTTAAAATCTGAAATATTTGATTTGATGAATGTCAGTGTAGTATTTCCCTCTGTGACTCTGATGGATTTGTTGGTTCAGGGTTTTGTTGTTTTTGTTTTGACCCAAATCTAGAATTTTTTTCTTTGTTTATATGTGTATGCACACATGTATGTGCGTATATGATTGTTGGCGCCACATAAACACAAACTGTGAAAGTAAGAGGGTGGCTGATGGGGGGTGGGGGGCAACTTCAGATGTTGTTGCACTGGTGAAAGACTGTGTGTGTGTGTGTGCGCTTCTAGTTGGCTTTGGTTGTTAGCTGATTAATAAGCAGAGCAGTGTGAAGTGAGGGAAGCCCAACGGCACTCTGTTCAAACCTTTGAAAGGACCGGTCCGCTGCACTGCCAGGATTCTCACTCTTCCTGTTTCTACTTACTACCAGGAATTTCATGGCAAACAAACTCCCACTGCTCTTCTCACATGCCCCACGCCCCATCAGATACCCACCTCAGCAAAACTCCCCCAGAGGAGCGGAAACGAGAGAGATCTTCAGGCATTTTAGGAGTTTGTTTTGTCTGAAACTTTTAGGCCTCCTGACTGAGTTCTGTGGAAGAACCTGAACCAGAAAGTAGGAAAACGCTTTTGTTGTACCAGAAAAAAAACATTATTTATTTAAAATTTCAATATTTATAAACAACGTCTTCTGTTTCTTACTAATGATAACATGTTTAAACACACACACAGGGAGAGCTCCGTCCAGACAGAGCAGCAGTTCGAGTCTGGGATTATGACCTTTTTACAGTAAAGCAATAGCTCTTCCACATATTAGAAGATAAAAAACACCCTCACTTCTACCCTGACAGAGTGCCCTTGGGCACATGTAGCATTAATTGCAGCCTCTGTGGAGCCTGCAGACAGCCAACAGCAGCCACTGCTGGCATCAAAGAGAATCACAGTCCAAACTTGATGACATTTTTATTCTGTTCTTATGTCTTCCCCTCGTTCTCTTCTTTCTTAATTCCCTATCTTACTCCCCCATTTCCTCCCAGGTGCCCCCTCTTTTCCCTCTCTTTGAGCTCAGCTCCTGAACAAACATGGAGGTTGTCTGTAGTATTTTTTGTCTCCACTTCCTTCCTGCCCCAGAGCATTTTTACGTACCTCGTTAGTTTTCATAGCTAGCTAACATCTCTGTTCTGCCAGGGGCAAACAACTTTTTTGGTAATAAAGATAGGACATGGGAGACTGTGGGGGACGGGGGGGTGTCATTTAGATGCAGTAACTACACATAAGAGGCACAGAGGAAAGAAAAGAGATGAAAAGGGTTTTCACTCCCTGTGGATCATGGAGGGAGTGAAAACACTGGCGTGACGTTAAACTTTCACACATGGACACCTGAACCAGAAGATCGTTCTCAACAACAGTGAAGTTATTCATTCATTTAGGAGTAAAAATTTACGTAAGGCTTTAAGCCCCGCCCAACTGTACAGATGACGTGGACAACAGTCCGGTGCTGCTCTCTCTCTGTAGTGAATATTTTTATTTACCTTTTGGTGAAGACAAATGGGACAAAGATACAGCAGCTGTACAGTGTCTGACCCATAGAGGTCGCTGCAAAACAACACAATTAAAATAAGACACAATTCACTAAAATAGCAGATACAATAGCATACAACTGTTTTGGAAACATGCAGATAATAAACTATTTAAAACAGTTTTTTGTGTCAGAAATGTTGGCAGTGATGTCAACAGTACATTTCATTAAACAAAAGAGTGAGCTAAGATTAAAAGATAACCTGATCACAAAGTTAATCTGCAATAATCTGGACTCTTTATTCGAATCAGGAGATTCAGAATTTTGTGATAATTAATGAAATTATATATTTAGAAATCGTATTTTATCTGCTCATAATGAAGAATTCCTGCGAAGGAAACCATGAAACACCAGGCAGCAGGGACTAGGACGTGTGACGTCGTTGATTAAACAAGACAGATCAACACAACACACTGAGTCAAAGGGTGGGGGGAGTAAAGGGGGTGACGTGTTGGACTGGATTGGCATATTATGTCTGGTGAGGATGAAGTGCCGCTACAGCAAGACAAAAAATATGGATCTCTACTGCCCTCCCGTGGTCATGTACGTATAAGACACCAAAGAATCAGGACAGAAGACTGTTCAAGACTTAAACGCACGCACGCACGCTCATTCATCATCATTCATCTGGATAATCGACCCATATCCAACAGAACCACCGTATAACAGCAGCTTTCTGGCCACGTGATCATCTGGAGACACAGAGTGCTACAGTCTTCACGGCTCCTAGTTGTCCAGGAGGGAGCGCTGTAGAGCCTCCTGAATCATTGTATGCTCGTCTGTGGAGTAGTCCTACAAACACATGGTTGTGAGGGAAACGGGTTGATTTACAGTGTAGTCAGGTTGTTGTCTGAGACAACAGTTTAAACTTACGACAAAGGTGTCGTAGGAGAAGGTGTGTCTGATCTTCAAGTGCTGGAGGAAGTCTGCACTCCTGTAATTAGGGTCACCCCAGGGCATGGAGGCACAGATGGGGCACACCTAAAAAAAATGTAATGTGAAAACAAACAAAAAGAAGAAGAAGAAATACCACTGTTAAAGAAACAAAAGTAACGTAAAGTAACTAATGTTTCAATTTTTTAAAAATTCCTCTGATTTTACTTACGACTTGACGTGTATCCCGAGCATGCTGGGAAGTGCAGTGTTCCACTAGCCCATCCTGATCCAGGTTCTGGCAGCTGCAGTATGGACAAGTGAAGGTGTAGCGATTTGGCAGAGGGCTGTGGGGGGGGGAGAGAAACCAACGTTTGTTGTTTGGTCTGTTAGAGATATAGTTCCTAAAACAAGTCCTTGGATCACAGTGGATCACAGTGGAACACTGTAAAACAGTTAAATCGTTCCCTGATGTTGGTACTGTTGCATCATTGACTAATTTCACCGTTGTTCAGTTCTTTCCCATACCACTTTCGGTGGTATGGGTTCATGCCCGCTGTTTCACTGCTAATGTAGCCTAGAATGACCTCTGAGCCTTGGTTAAATATCACATGACTCGTTATGAGTGGTGCAGAGCTGAGCGCAGGTGAAAAGGACAAAGTACAGGTGCGTCATTCTTGAACAGATGGTCGAGGATGAAAGTAGAGAAATATTCTGGCGTCTTTTCAGTTCAGCTTTAATCATCTTTTAGCTGTTGAGTCTGGTGACTATGTGACTTTTAGATCTAATTGCTGTTGAAGTTAACTGAGGTTTTTGTGGCAGCCCTGCTGACACTGTATCCTCCTCCATGCTTCTAGGCTCCATACTGGTACAATGTTTCTTTTCACTGCATCCACTGTTATGCAGACAATAGTCAGATTTGTGTGCTGATGATGAACTGTTCCAGTCACTGGACAGGCACGGTGGTTTATGGTGTTGTCAGGTCTGTGCGTCCCTACCTGACAATGGCTGGTTGGCTCTGGGCCGTCGTCCTCACACCCTCTTCAATGTAATCCTGGTATTTGGAACATGCAGCTGTGTGATTTCTCATTTGAGAAAGCCAAATCTGAAAAGCCCCGCCCACAATAGAATAACAATAAAGAATGAGGAATATTTCTTTACTACACAGGTTCAACACATGACTCCCCCCTCTCACACACACACACACACACACACACCCTGGAGAGGGAAGGTGAAGTAGCAATAAATGGCTAAAGAGTTCAAAGGAATGCACGGCGAGGATGATAATAATGTTATAGATGACCATACCTGAGCGCCGCAGCCCTTACAGGCCGCCACAGATGATTGGATGACAGCCTCCAGATCAGAGGCTTTAGTCCAGTGGCCCAGAGTGGCCCTGCACACAGCACACACAGGCTTCTGTGGTCGCAAGCACTCCTGCAGACAACTCTGGCAAAACCTGACAACAGATAGAAGAAACCACTGTCTGTTGAATATACTATTGATGAGTGCTCAAATCTGCAGCTGTCACCTGGTTCTCCGCTTAATGAAGGGTATTTTTGGCTTTAACAAAAAACAACAATGTATGCAAAGTCCAAAGAAAAAAAAAAATCTTTCAGTAGATTCTAGTATGTTCAGTGCCTGTCCAGTTAGAATCGAACTAATAAACCACAACGCACAACTGGTTCATGCCAACATGAACCAAGCAACGAACAAAGGCTTAGGGTTGAACAAAGGTGAACCACTTGAACACAATGATTAGTACCAGTTTAACCTCAGGATCTTAATTAGACTAGTATAGTCAGTCAGTCTTTAACATTAAAAAAGGCTTGTTTTTATTGTCTACGCTCTACCAGTTATACCAGCATTTTTCTTTCAGGTAAATGTAGAGAACCAGAAGATCATTCCTAACAAAATCATACTGCAGAAGACGGACAACCATTAATATCCGGGTCACGGACTGGACTGCAGACAGGGCTGTGACAAGCCAGGCTCCTCCACTGGTGACATGGGAGTTACATCTGTGATAGGCTACAAGGACAGAGCTAAATAACACACACACACACACATTTGAACCATCATTCTTGTTCTCTCCATTTGATTTGGCATTGGATTGGGGGGCAAATTGTTTGTTTGATTTATACTAATTTTGAAATTCTGACTATTGCTTACGATTAATTATCTATTATTTAGGTTTATAGAAGTGCCTGAAGCACAGTACTGGTACAATGTGCTTCATGTGGCACTAAAGGTCAAAAATATGTCTATATATATATCAGTCTCTTAATCATCCTATAATAGGGAAATTCATGGTGAGAGTCTTTGAAACCCACAAAGGCTGACACAGGCAGCACTGTTAAGTGTTCGGTTCCTCTGGGGCTCGAACTCAGGACTTCTCCACACAAAGCAGATGTGTAAGGCAGGCATGATAACCACTACACTATGAAACCACCAAATACACATGTCCGTTATTGTTATTAGCTAAAGAAATAATCTAAGAATATCAGAATAAGAAACCTCTTAGATGAGAGGAGAAACGTCTTCTTGAGAAAATTTCACGTCCAGTGAAACGGAACTCTTCAACCAATATCAGCCATAAAACACCTGCGCGCCATTTGAGCTGGAGTCAGACTCAACAGTCGGTGCTGGTGGACGGGGCCGTCACGTCTAGATATGTAGATAACTGTTGACGGTAAGTCGCACCTCGACAGGTCGCCGGGATTTGTAGTCCTTAGAGTGGTTTCTTTAACTTCAGTAGCAAAGCTGTGAACTACAACTCCCACTAGAGGCCTCTTCACTGGTGTAAACAAAACTGAAACTGCTTTAACAAACTGACACTGTTTAAATTATAACACACAAACATTAACAAATATATATATATATATATATATATATATATATATACACACACATATGGAACAGAAAAAGACATTAACACAGAAAGCGAAAACAGTCACGCACTGATTCGTTTGTTACGAATGGCTACACGAACGACAAAGAAGTGGTAAAATGACACAACACACTCACGTATGTCCGCATTGTGTCTTTACAGGACTGTCGAAGATTTCCAGACACACTGGACATACGAACTCTGACACGTCGCTAGCCCCATCCAAAACGTATTTCTTGTGCTGTGCTGCGCTAAAATCGCCCAGCATCGCCATTTCTTTTCTTCGGTGGCTTGTGACGTCACAACCATCTACTTCCGTTTCTTTTAGCTTGGGGGGTGTCAAGATTCTTGGTTCAAGATTTGGACGTGATGATGACCCAATTCATGTTCATCAGTGACACAAGTGACCAAGGTAACACACAGGGAACGTCTTATAGATATACTTGTCATAAAAACACACCTGCTATGAATGCTAATAGCAATGCTAATATAAGCCTAAGATATCACATATTGCACATATAATCATCTTTCTCTCTGTTTCTGAATAAAATTATATATGAATTGTGAATATGTAGATATTCAGTATATAACTGTATATATTGCATTTATATATATCCCATATATCACATTTCATAACTTAATTTTAAGTGAAATTGAGGAAAAATGTATCTTATGTATTAATTCATTTTGTACGCTTTCCTTCCGTTCCTCACTTGGAATTTTGCGGCCCTTTTATTCCCACGTGGCCTCTAATAAACCAGCAGAGCTTTGCGCATGCGTAGTACCCAGACGTGAATTTCTTACAGTTGAGGAGGCGTAGTTAGCAGCAGTTAGCACGCTAAGAAGGTAAGCAGAACATTTAGCCCTGTGTGTTCTTATTATTATTAATTAGGTTATCCTCGGGCTCAATTCCCTTTAGACAACGTTCGCTCGAAATACATACCGAATATGTTTGACTGAAAAGGGTTCACTTCCAGAAATGAGCTAGCTTGCTAAATCTAACACTTGTTAGCCGTGCACTTAAGATGAAATGGGCGTTTACTGCGTTGCTCGTAGTAAGCTGGGGGCCATGGTAGTCAGGAAAGCACCGTCACAGCTGTGTGGGTTATCACACACACACACACCCTCTCTCTTCCTCTCCTTCAGTCATAACGTCACAGTGACCCGTCAACTTCGATGCGTTCAATGCTCAGAACTCGTACATGCTGCCGTTTATGGCTAACTCGTGCTAACTGCTTGGGAACAGTCTGTAGTCGGTCACTTCTGTTCGCTGCTTACGACCTCTCAAAACACACATTTACGAAAACTTAAATTAACGTTAGGCTGCTGCCATTAGGTCAGGCTAACAAAGTGATTTAGAGTTCTTAACAATTACACCAAATACGGAAGGAAAGAATGATACAGTTTTGAATATTGTAAAAAAAAAAAAAAAACTTGATGATCTCTGGTGTTATGTACACACATACTGTGGAACGGTATTGTTACTAAAAACCTCTTAACCAGTTTATTAACACTGATTTACATTGATGCATTTACAGTTGCTAGTAACAAAAGCCCAGATTTCTTCCTCTCCTGTCAGCTGTTCCATCTAACCATATTACCTCCTCCTCTGCTCTCTTTAGACAAACTATCTCCAAGTCTTCTTTTACAACATCCACAAATCTCTTCTTTCTCCTCTTGCCTGGCTGATTCTTCTCCTACTTCTCTCCTCAGGTCATATCCAACATCTTGAATGTTAAAACCATTTCTATAACCTAGAAGAAATATTTGCTCATTTTTTTATTTTTGTTTTTTCCTCTGAAGTAAAAAAAAAACCTTAACTGTCTTTGTGTTTTCAGCCCAGCACATCTCATGATTACCACCAATATCTTCACTTAGAGTAAACTTCAACTGTGCGGATTCTGAACTTAACGAAGACAACAGTTACAACATCAGAAGCCATCATTGCAATGTTTAACTGGAAACAAATAAGGTTGTTGACTGCTCCTGGAAATGCCTGGAAGATGGCACAGCAACAGGCTGCAGCCTAGCTGGGCCAAACTAAACCCGCCCACAACACCTTTGGTCAAGTGCTGCTGATTAAAGGCAATATTTGTTTTTTCTTTTCCCCATCTCCAAGCAATACTGACATTAAGATGAGCTGGTGTAAAGAGATGGTCTCAGGAATCGTGCGGGAATCTGCCAAAAGAGGCGCAGTTTCCGCAAGGAATAACAACTGACTTACAGTCTGCTTCCAAGAGATGGATGCAAAGCTCAAAGAAGATCTGTTTCGGAGGTATGTGAGCGCGCTAGACCGGCTGCCGGAAGAGGAAAGAGAACACACTGGGGCAGGAAATACACCAGGAGGGCACAAAAGCCGACAGAAGGATGGTGAGGCCCTGCTCTCCACAGCCACGGCTCTGCTCGGAGCCTACCAGCCAGATCCAACGCAGCGTTTCCGCATGGTACGTTTCTACGATGTGGTGGAGAACTCGCTCCGCTGCCAAAGAGGGGGCAACCTCCGGAGCCTGGAAAGAGCTTTTCAAACCCTGGAAACCATTTGCACCAACCTTCTGCTCTATCCTTGGAAGAAAGAGTTCAGATGTATAAAGGTGAGTTGATGGGTTAGGAATTATTCTTAAAGAAATGCATGTAACTATGTGTCAGTGGGCGGTGGGTCATTGGCTTCAAGCCGGTGCTGTGATTGATTCCAACTTTCAGGAGGACAAATAAAGACATGTTTTAATGGCCACATTTTATATAACAAGGCAATTTAGAAACTTAGAAATGAAATATCATTTCCCACAGGAAAGGAGACAGAAAGGCAGAAAACAATGACAAAGTCATTCAGTCACTCCTACCCTCGCCCGTGTCCCAAAGACCAGGGAACACCAATGTCCCGGGTTAGCATTAGGCTAATCCTTCCTGAGCTCCATACTTTCTGCACCTGCGCCACTGTCTAAAAAAGAAACTTATCCCTGAAACTCTCTTTAAATACTGTCCTGCTGACAGACAATCAGCACCACCTGTGTGTGCATGCTTGCCTGTACTAAAACTATTTGACACTGTGCTCCACTGCTTCCCATCATGGCTCATTTGTTGATTTTGTCTTTTAGACCTTCACCGGCCCATACGTGTACCAGCTTCAATCAGCCATTCCGGAAGCTGATCTTTGGTCCCTAATGCGCGTTATTGGCTACACATGTGACCAGGACTCGCAGTTCCATTTGCAAGAGCATGTAGGAGGAACAAATCATCTCCGGCAGTTGTCGTTTGAGCTTTTCCTTGCCCAGGCGGAGTGCCGTCTTCTGGGGGAAGTGGTTGCACTGGCACGGGGTTCTGCCTCCGAACTGGAGGCCCTGGAACTCCGAAGGGGCTGCAGAGACGATGCTGCTGGCTGTGCTGAGGCACTCCGCAGACGTGACAGCATGGGGGCAGATATGGGGCGGCTTTCTGTCCGGCCATTGGACATTGAGCGCCCCCATGCCCACCACCTCAGGCGCGGGAGCCGACCATCGAAATCAGTGGATGTCACAGACGGAGCTGGTCACTGGCATGCAGCTGTCAGTAAACCTGTCCTCAAGGCCTCGTTGAGTCTGAGGAAGGAGCCTGTGTTTGTAGACACCGAGGAGGAGATGAAGGACGAGATCATCCGGCCCAGCACCTTAGCCTCTCATTGCTCTGTTGTCGCTCCGCCTTCCTACAGCCCTGTTGCTGATTTTTTTCCAATCCAGTCCCCTCCCCCAGCTGATGCCTACACTTCCTACCATCTGTCTTCTTTGGATGAGATTGACCTGTACACTGAGAGGGGTGGAACAGGAGGGAGACAAACTCCCTCTCGACCTCCATCCAGAGAATTGCGAGATGAAAGGGATGGTTGGCTGCTGAAGGCGCATGCTGGTGTAAAGTGTCAAGGTTGCGGGCTGAGCTGCACAGCGGTGGCTTACTGCCAGAGGTGTGACATGATCCTTTGCTCTGCCTGTCACAATGTTGACCCCTCCCCATGCTGTGGACTCCAGGAGTATCACATCAAGTCCCCACGCACTCTGGATGGATATGTCGCTGTCAAGGACAAGCTCTCGGTCTACTCCAATACACATTCTCACCCTCACCTTCACCTGCACCCCCTTACACTGACTCACCCAAACCCTCACACTCAAATGGTGGAGAAACAACTTACATCCACCAAGCTGTTTCCAAACAAGTCTGTTGCAATGACTACACCAAAAGGAGGCAGCAGTGAGCGCTTGAGCTTAGGGGGGTCACGCTGTGGGTTCTGCAACAAGCCAGGTGCAACACACACCTGTGTTAACTGTTCTAAGGTGTCATGTGACTCCTGCGTGAGCTTGTACTCCAATGATATGTGCACACGAAAGAATTCGCAGCACAGCTTTGTTCCCAACCATCAACTCAACTTCAAGTCTGGCACGATATCCCACCTGGTGTACCGATAAATGTGGCGCACCGGTTTGCTCCCATGCCGCCTGTACAGTTGCTCAAACGTGTGGTGTAGTCACACAAGGCTGCTTTAGTGCTAAGGCCCAAACTCTGCTCAATGATCTGACCGCTCCGTCCAATGTCTCGTCCA